AAACTTCCATCCTATGGCGTTCCAGAGAAGCAGATGGGTGGGGCTTCACTCCATGACGTCAACGTGGGTGTTCCTCAGGGATCGGTCTTGGCTCCGATCCTATTCCTCTTACATATGAACGGTCTCCTTTTATATACGATCATTCCAATCCATAACCTTGCTGATAACAGCACTCTACATGCAGCAATTCAGAGCGACAAGCCGATCTCTGCCGGTGAGCTGGAAAAAAAGAAGACTAGCAGAGAAAACCCCGCAACGGAAAAGAGTAGCAAAATACATCGTACCCCACTGTTAACGCGGTGTGTCTTTGTGTGATTTGATGTATTTTGTTTACTTTGCCTTGTGGACTTAATTTTTTGACAATACATATGGAAGGTAAAAGAGTGAATGAAAAATGCAAAAAGGCATTACTATAATGTGGTTTCAATTTAAACTGGTTTGATAGCTGCTTCGTGGACGGCATTTTTTATGAAAAAAACATGTAGTTATACTTGCTACATCTTGTATTTAAGAAATAATTTATACAAATACCGTAAGAGCACTAGCTTACTACAGAAGACAATGGATATTTACTGAAAGATCATCCAAATCAAACAATTGATTCAGAGAAAAATGTTCTATAATCTTGGCTATTTCACTGATCTATTTCTTGGGTAATATATCAGGAAGTTTTTGGAAAAGCGAATGAGCTCAAGATTTTTTGATTTACGCAAGTTGTGTCTTGGATTTGGTTGTCTCTAGGCGTTTGATGTGTCTCAGTGAGACCGGCGATTGAGAAGGCATTTTATTTCTCCGGCTGTCGCGATAATACCATGTTAACAATGATTCAACCAATCTCCTATGTGCTGTGTGTCCAGTCGTTCAATTTGGGGTTAATAATAATAATAGCATTTATTGCCCAACGGAGTATTTTTAATTCCATTTACGGGACAAAGAATCGAAATTTGAAATAACAATAAAAAACAATAGAGTTGAAGTGATGCACATGACACTTTCGCGAGATTTTAAAGTTGGTATTTGAACGGGTGCAAAAAAGTAAGTACGGTTGCTAGAACACGTCGTTGGAACTAAAAATTGGAGCTGTGAAAACAGGTCTGAAGAATCAAGAATGCTATGTATAATTTTATACAAGATGACGGAGTATTGAAAACCAGATACTTAAGAAATTTATTTTGAACACAATATATTTAGTTACAATAAGGACTCCAAATCAATGGAGTATATTCCAATTTGGAACATTATATATATATACAAGGTATTATTAAAAAGCTTACAGTTTCTACCAATAAAAACTAACGCTCTATTAAGACCATTTACAATTTGAATACGAGCCCCTTCCCACTTCAGTTGGCCCAACTATTGAAATCTTAGTTTTTTTTCTTATCAAACACAAATAATAAAAATGCAGCAGAACTAAAAATATTAACAATGAATATTTTGATAATAAATAGTAGAAAACACCAACTTTATCACTCCCTAATCAAATTTGCATCATAAAAATAACACATGTTGGAATTACAGCATATCAACCTATTTTAATTTCAATGCAAAATAAGTCTATAACGCATAGTTGGCTGTGAAAAATAAAAGCCATGACAATTGTTTTTATTAATCACAGCTCGCAGAATACGTTTAAAATAGTTTTGGGTACTTAAGGTTTTCAAAATGGGTAGAGGAAAGGTTATTAGTGGGAAAATTCGGTTAAGGATAATTAAATTTTTCAATTCTGGGAAATCAAACTCAGAAATTGCAACTTTGTTAGACTTATCGCAGTACAGTGTGAGAAATATTGTTAGAAGATATAACGTAACCGGTTCAGTTAATATTAAGCCACGATATGTAAAAAAGAGTAATATCACAAATGCTGACCGAAGAGCATTAAGAAGAATAATCGTGAAAAACAGGCGTACCAAACAATTAAGTGCTCTGTGGAGTCACGCTGTTGGAAGGAGAATTTCGAGGTCCACAACTCATAGAGAGGCCCACAAACTGGGATTTAGCACTTGCAAGGTAAGTTTTCTTATAAAAAAAAGTGAAGTGAAAACCCTAAAGTTGCACAACTTGTTTATAGGCCAAAGAAAAGCCACTATTAACTACACTGCAAAAGAAAAATCGGCTTAGATGGGCTAAATAACATAGACAATGGACACCTCAACAATGGTGTGCAATACAATGGAGTGATAAGGCCCGATTCGAAGTTTTTGTTGGTGTCAGTCGCAGTAGAGTTATTCGCAAAAAAAATGAAGCATTCCATGTTGACTGTCTGAAGAGAAAAGTGAAATTTCCAGCATCCATTATGGTCTGGGGCAGTATGTCATCAAAAGGAGTAGGAAAACTTCATTTTATTGATGGAAATGTGGATACAAACAAATATTTGGCAATTTTAGAACAATCGCTTTTATCAGTGATGGAAGAATGTTTGACATCCGACCAAGATTTTGTGTTTCAGCAAGATGGTGCAGCGTGCCATACCTCAAAAAAGGCTATAAAATGGATGGAAGAAAATAATGTACCACTTTTGAAATGCGTTTCTAGCAGTCCAGATCTGTCACCTATTGAAACTTTGTGGCACGAGATGAAAAAGGTTCTACGACAACATCCTGCTCGTACAATCATCGAACTGAGACAAAAGCTCCAAGAAATATGGGATTGTTTTACACCAAATTTCAGCCGTAATAAAAAATAAAGGTGATGTTACCCAATGGTAATCTTTCAATTGTTGCTTTGTTAACTTCGCGCATTGATTCGCACATTGTTTATTTGTTCAGATGTTCTATTAGTTATAGGTCTAAGTGATTTCAAATATGTATTTTTTACGACTAGAGTGTATCTAAAATGTTTTTGAGAAAATAAATTGTTTTAGAAGTAAATAGTTTCGTCATGTTTAGTTTATAAAAGCATATTTTGGTACAACAACAACATACTTGGCCAACTGAAGTGGGAAGGGGCTCGTAATGTGATAGTCAAAACCCATCCTACTGTCAAATGTCATCCCTAGATCACAAAACGGTTTCCTGGCGACTGATTACGTTTCTTACGGTGTTATAGGGGTAAATTACTATTTGGGCAATGCAAGTCTTTATCCTAGTCTGATCGGGAGAGCCATTTTCTCATTGTTGTGAGTTAACCATTTTAATGCATGCTTTAGTCATCTTCAAGTATAGGGAAACACGATTAATATTTTATGATTGTTTGGGAAATTTGGAAATACTAGTTTGCAGTTTTTAGTGTTTAACTTTATGGGACATTATCTTGATAATGTGCCATATTATTTCAAAGATAATCTTGCCCCTCTCATCAAAAAATGATGATGGATCCTTCAAGTACTAAGAGTTCCCGACGTAAACTCAATCTCGGATTGTCCGGGTGGAGGGTGAACTCGACATCGATGATAAAATCTCTTTCACAAACATCGCTGTGACGCTGTTGACCACTCTCTGCAGTCCAGTTATCGTGCCATTCTTCTCTTGGTGGGACCAAAATCTCCGATTCTGTCCCGACCAACCAACTTAATTTTCCAAAGTATGAGGTGCATTCCAATTTCAGAAACAGTCTTTCCTGCTCCAGATATGTTTCTTTGGAATCAGGTCGGAAAGAAGAATGTGGCTTCGGCTCAACTCTAAAGGATCCCCCAAATTTGTTTGCTGCCTCTATCCTTCACCTTCGGACCATAACAGGATGATCTACTTGAGTACCTCGCTGTCAAGATCGACTTGTTCAACATCAATCATCCTGCTTTAGAGATAGGTTTCCACGGTGACTTCAAGGCCCATAATGAACTGTGGTTGACTTATGCAGTAGGTCATGCCATTGAAGAATTCGCCATTAGACAGAGACTGACCCAGCTGTTGACGCGCCATACTTTTTCTACCAAAGAGCCGTTCATTTCGGCTGGTGGGAGTCCAGAATACTGAGAACTTGATTTGATACGAACACATCCCGCAGCAGCTGATAGGAAGAAGCTAGTTTAGTTGTTTAGGGCCCTCAAGTACTTCTCTCCACACAACCTTATTTCTCTGTACAAAGCCCAAATAAGTCTTAGCCTCGAGTACTGCTCACATGTTTGAGGTGACACTTCTCTAGTAGACGGTCTCGGGACTCTTTCACACCGACGTGCTTGCTGGCGATCTATCTCTATTCTACCGCTATTCCAATGGGATTTGCCCCTCAGAGCTCTGGCTCATGATACCACTGCGCGACGTGCATCCAGAACTGTCCAGTAGGAGCGCTCTTTTGTTCCTAAAGTTTTAAAATTGTGGAACAATTTTCTTGCGGAGGTTTTTCCAAATTTTACTAACCTTAAGCGGTTGAAACTTCGGTATCTCAAACCACAATATTGCAGTGTCGGTACCCCGGTGCTTACGCTTCCACCTACGCGGCTAAAATCCCCACGTTTATTAATTTATGCGATTATGTTTCTTTAATTAGTTTATCAGCTAATTACTATAGTGAGATTGTATAAAAGTGAGCTAACACCGGGCTAGCGTCAAGCGGCAGCCAAACACAGTGGCAATTCGCGTAGATTACATTGCAGCTTGATTTGAGTCAGGTTTTAGCTATCAACATATTCTACCTCAAGATAGGTAACTATATATACTGTATCCTGATATCCAAAACGGTTCCTAGCGCTATCTGTGAGACAGTAGCTAAACACAAAAATAAATTTATGCTTCTAACTTGAAAAGCATTTGAGTCTTTGGTTTTGCTACTGTCTTACAGATGGCGCTGATTTTCAATCTCATTTTGACGGCTCTCTTTGCGTATTTTAGTTGGATATCTCATTAGAGATGCGCAAAAAAATATTGAAGATCCTAAAGCCATCTGTGGGACAGTAGCAGAACCATACACTCTAGTACTTTTTGAAGGGGACATCTAAATTAATCTTTGTGTTCTGCTACGCCATCTCACAAGTAGCACTAAGATCTTTTAAATATTTTTCTAGGTGCCGAAATACATTACGTAGAATACGTTAATCAATAACTATATTTTTAATGAGTGATGGTCAATCTGCAAAATACTCTCTCTCTCTTTGAACTGCTCGTGAAATATATAAAGGAAATTGGAACCATTCATAATAATAAATATAAACCTTGCCACTAACAACTGCGCTATAGGTTGTTGAATCTATAATAATCTAACTTCGATGTTTATGTTTAAAATGACTTGCCTATGAACAATGGCCCTACTGCATTACAGGCACAGGCTAGACAACCAGTCTTGCACACCGTTCCATAACCTCACAAATTTTCTATTTTTACATTTCAAAACAGGAAAGGTTAAGGTTAAATTAAAGTTATTTGAGGAAACCCTACGATGTAAATTGTAAATATAGCACCGAAAACGAACAGCAATTATTGTCCGAACGATGTATTCGAAGTATCATAAGGCTCTCTGTTCAACAAATAAAGTATACAGATGTCTGTGCAATGGTTTGGTCACAGACGGTAGCACCCCTGGGGCCACAGCCCCTGCAGGCACTGGCATGCCCCCAAAAGATGCCAGGGTCGTTATATGTGGAGGAGGCGTGATGGGAGCCTCGGTGGCTTACCATCTTGGAAAACTGGGATGGGGTAAGGAGACTGTGTTGATTGAACAAAATCGGTAAGTTTCTTGATATACCTGCATTCGGCTTATATTTAACTCGTGGAAAATAATTAAAAAAACCCCCGTCATTTAAAGTATTATCTAATGATAGCTAAAGTTCGAGTTAAGAAAGCATTGAGCCTTCAAGGCATATTTTAAAAGTAAGATAAGCTTTTCTAAATATAGGGGTTCTAAATATCCTGACTAATAACTTCGAAAGTATGTAGATGACGCAGTATGTTATTCCTTAAGTTAAGAAAATACCACATGTTACAAAATATTAAAAACTCAGATGGCTCAGTGCTAGACTCAACACAGTATTGCAAACTACTTACACCCTGCATGAATAATGTCTAAAAAATGATATAAAGCTTAAACTTTTAGCTGAATAAAAGTAATCTTGTTTGCTTTTGATGAAACAAACTGTTTTTGAGCAAAACAATGTACCATACATATAAAGGTATACTGCGGACAATCTCCAAAATGTTTGACAAAAATCTAAAACCCAATTAAGTAATTTGGAAATTTTTATTTTTTTACATCTAATTTATTCCCAAAATTACTGTAGACATGGCAATCAAAAATTGAAATAAGAGTAATTATCTCAAAAGCAGCTTGTTTATCAATATTTTTTTCACCTTAGTTATTCCAAAAACGTCATTGTTGAGCCATTATCATACAGGGTGTTTAAAAAGCAATATTTGTTGTCTATGGATAGATAGACACCATCATGTAAGGCCCAAATGGTTCCTGTAATGTCATGCAACATGTCTATCAGAAAAGCAGCTTCAAATAATTTTGCTGATTTTTTTATATGCTATGTATTTAAGTGTCCTTAACAAATTAATGTCTCAATGGTCATCAAAACCATAACCCAATAGGTCCCAAGATGTGTCCCATCTAGTTAGTATATTCAGGTATCACTCCTAATAAACTACCTACTCTACTTAGAAGAGTGGTTACAGTTAATTTGACTTAATCTGTCATATGTTACATACTTTGGGATCCTGATCCAATGTCTCACGGGGCAGAACAGGGTTTGCAAAAAGGGTCAATGGTGGCCTATTTGTCAGGCTTTACTTTTGCCACCACTACTACTAGGTTTGTACCAATTAAGATATTTGTTCAAAATGCTAAGATACATAACATACAAACAATTCAGCAAAATTTACCTAAACCACATTTCTCATAAGTGTGTTGCAGAGTCATTGAGTTTTGAACAGGAGTTATTTAAGAAAAAACAATTTCCAACAGGATCCTAGGGGCATCTTTTTTATTGGGGAAATCCATATGACTTTTTTTCATGGGAAGTTTTTTATGTTCTGTAACCATAGTATCAGACCATATCAGAGGTCTGGTGCTTTGGCTAAACTTCTGGTTCCAAATATTTTTATTCTACCATCATATGATTTTTATGTATATTTGGATCAACATTTTGAAATTTTGAATATAACACACTAATCTTTTCCATTTCCTGCAATCTGGGTTACATTTCTAGGACATTAGAAAGGTAACAATTGTCATATTATTCTGTTTCATATTTTTTGTAAATGTACAAGCCATTTATTTCCAGTATTGGTGGAGGAACAACTTGGCATGCATCTGGCCTCATAGGTGTGTTCAAGCCAAGCTTGTCTCAAGTGAAACTGACCAAGTCAAGTGTAGATTTGTACAAAGAGCTTGAGAATAAAGGACTGTCAACAGGCTGGAAACAATGTGGTAGTCTCAACATAGCAAGAACTAAGGATAGGATGATTGTCTTTAAGAGGATGAAAGCTCAGTCTGTGTGAGTTGTGCTTACTATTTTTATGTGGATTGATATATTACAGTAATTATTATTAACATTTTGTTCTTTATTTCTCTGGGACTTCTATAGGTCCTTTCTATAGTTATAATTTTTATTATTATTGTGCAAGGCGCCGAACCCTGTGGAAGGTTTAGAGGGGGCTGGGCACCCCCCTAGACGACCAAGCCTATCATTTTTTTCAAGACAATGAGATATATTGCTATATCTTGGTGTAAAAATTACCTTGCTAGACCTGAATCGTGAAATGTGCGCCCAACCCCTTATAGATATATCCTGCACTCTAATTGCCACAAAGGCTTTTTCTCTCAGGTACATCTTAAACATACAGCCCCCATTTTCATCATCATCAATCAATGTCATATAACTATTACAATTATTGCTATTGCATCAACTTGAATTTTGCAGCATTCTTGTGTCGTTGTCGTAACTCGTATAATAATAGTACTATAAAGTATAAAATATATATAATGTAGTAAAACACCAAATAAATTACATAGGTCCTGGGAAATTGACTGTGAGATACTTACTCCTGAGCAATGCAAAGAAAAATGTTCCTTGTTAAGAATTGATGATATAATTGGTGGCTTGTGGATACCTGGAGATGGTGTAGGTGATCCATATGAAACTTGCTTGTCTATAATATCAGAGGCAAAAAATATGGGTAAGATTCTATTATTATCTGATATGGCATTTCATTTTGTTTGATGCAATTCTTATTAATTAGATGAAAGTCAATGTTTACATTCCTTTTTTAATAATGATGCAGATTATCCTTGGTTTTCACTATAATTTTGGAAAAACGTATTCTACATTCGTACAATAAAAGAAAAGCCATTTAAATCCACTGTATTGATCGCTGATGAGATGAACTAATAGTATTTGGTTTTTCCGCGTACCGATAACACTTGATCATAATATATACCCTATTTCACGAGTATCGATCACGGTAGAATGGCAGCTGGTTATCAATATTTCAAAATTCTCCATCTCGGCAAAGGACACATAATTCTGACGGATCCGTCAATGCCAGGTAGACACCGCCATATTTTGTTTTGGTTCTTTGAACGCTATTGATTCATTTTGTACTTGTTAAAAGCTCTTTTATTTAGAAACGTTCATTTACAGACTAAAAATAAAAAGCTACGAACATTTTTTTGCTAGATTTACAGCCGATTCATTATAGCCAACGATGCAGACTAACAAAAATGTCGCTTGCTGATCAGCTGTTCACCTCAGTAGACGTCAAAGCGTGATGGATACTCGTAAAATAGGGTGTATTTTTTTTTGAAATTTCGACAGTAGAAAATGAAGGTTATTCTCTTCACCTTTGCAGCTTCAGTATTGGAAAAAGATACTTTGTATACTTTATCCATTGTATGAAGTTAAAAAAGTGATTATAATGCTTCATATTTTTCCCACAGGAGTTCGCGTGATTGAGGGATGTGGTGTCAAAAAAATAGACCAAATTGATAAAAGAGTATCAGGAGTTGATACATCCTTGGGCTACATAAACTGTGAATACTTTGTAAATTGCGGTGGGTTTTGGGCTAGAGGTATCGGTCAGCTCTCAGAACCCAATGTAAAAGTACCTCTGCATGCTGTAGAACATTACTATCTCCATACAAAACCTATTCCTGGACTAGATCCTCTATTACCAGGTATGTTTTAAAAATGATTGGGCCTATAGTCGCTTATACAGCATAAGAAAACATTGTTTTTACTATTTAAAGTCTAATTTATTACTTCCACACTAATTTATTACGACACTTGCAACTAATTTATTACAACATGACCATGTCGACTGGACTATCGCATCTCGCGCTGCTGCTGAATCATCCTTGACTCTCCTCTGAGTGTGTCCTCTCTGCCTTCTCTGTGTATATTTATCTTCAGTCGAGGAATTCGGAAAGTATGCTCCCGCGTCTTGATCGAAATCCAGCATTCGTGAAATCGTCTAGTTGGCGGTAGATGCTTCTCGATGGCTGCCGAACATTCTCAATGTGACGCCAACGCTCTCGATATTCTGGTTGCTTAAGTGGTTGCCTAAGCGTCGATGTTGCAAAGCTGCCTCATTGTTCCTTTATGGATAATTAAATAATAACTGATTAAAATACATTGCAATACTTGTCCAATGAAGGTTCGAGATATAGGAACTTTGTGATTTTTTATGCCAAGTGTTGAGTTCTAAATCGACTATTGACCCTATATTATGACTTTTTTCTGTTTGCTGTATTTCACTGATAATGTCTTAACAGCTTTTAATAATTATATCTTATCTGGGAAATCTCTCCGAGTATTATTAAAGATCCTACAAATGTTGAATGATATAGTCATTTTTCTTGAGTTGTGGTATGAATTTTATTGCAACATTCAATTGTTTTTCTGTATTCTGCAAGCGAGATTGCCTAAACATTATGAGACATCTGGTGGATAGTAAACTAGCTGAACGTTCGTTTTTTCAACAGTTGTTAGAGATCAAGACGGCCATATCTACTTCAGAGAAAACAAAGGTCGTTTACTCGCTGGCGGATTTGAGCCAATAGCAAAACCGGCTTACGAAGACGGTAAAATTCCAGGTCAGTGTTAGCTATTTTGCATCAGCATTCCAACTGTTAAGGAATAATGAAAGGTCATATTTTCAGCAAGCAGCAAGGACCGAGCATTGCCTGAGGATTGGGATCATTTCCATGTGTTAATGGAGCAATTGCTTCATAGGGTGCCCAGTTTAGGCAATGCTGTGTTGGATAGGCTTTGTAATGGTCCTGAGGCTTTTAGTCCGGACTGCAAGTGGATTGTAGGAGAAACCCCGGAGGTATAGACATTTTCATTTACCCGTTTCATTGCTGTAGGAATGGGAAATTTGTTTTTCGAGTCCACTGTGTAAATAAATAGGTCCGTTTAACTATACGGAACATGGTTTAAATACAGCAGTTTTTTAGCCTACCTAATACCATGGTTATCTTGAGTCTTTGGTGTATGTGTTATAAGAAAAAAATAGCTTATCTTTACAAAATATAAAAAATATACGCCGAGTGAAGGAAAGTCACTTGAACACCTTGTAAAAAATTAGCAAGCATTCATTTTCTCAGATGCATTTCGATATTATTTTCAGATCAGAAATTACCTGGTAGCTGCAGGGATGAAAACTATCGGTATCGCGGCAGCTGGTGGGGTTGGAAAAGCTACTGCAGAGCTTATAGTAACTGGCGACACTGACTTTGATATGTACGAATTAGAGGTGTCTAGATTCTTAGGTCTCCATAATAATAGAAAGTTCCTAAGGGACAGAGTAAGAGAGGTTCCAGGACTGCACTATGGAATTATGTACCCGTTTCACGAGTTCCAGACAAGTAGGTGCCTAAACCATTAGTTTATTTCCATGTAGTATAGAATTAAATTTTCTATCGAAAGCGTTGTTTCTTTGAAAATACTGGGTGTCCAGTGGGAAAGTTCACATTTCAAATTTGAATTACGCAGCAACCGTATACGCGACGAAGCGGGGAGACGGGGATCGACGCGTTCGGCGTGCGGGTTAAATAGTCACAATGGAACGTTGGACCGGAGCGCAACGTGCTTTTGCTATCGAGGCTCACTTTAAGAGTGGTGATTGATACGCAGCTGCCCTTCGGAAATCTTGTACACGATACAACATTCGCCGACCAAGGGATGCCCCAAGTAAGACCCTATTGAAAAAGTGCATTAAGAGGTTCCGTCAACCCATTCCTAGCCCCACACCTACTGCATCAACCAAAGAAAATGTACGTCGAGTAAATGATGTCATTGCATGTTATTGCAAATCCTCGGCGATCTGTACGGAAGCATTCCGCTGCTTTGGGAATCCCTAGGTCAACACTGCATGGCATAATGAAAAAAATGGGTTTTTTATCCCCATAAAATCCAGTCAGTCCATGCTTTAAAGGAAAGTGATTACGTATTACAAAAATATTGTGCTGAACGGATGTTGAATCTTTTTCCTACGCACCGCAAACTCGAGAACGTTGTTTTCAGCGACGAGGCCCTTTGCCCTTTTCACTTGAACGGTTATGTGAACAAACAAAATTTCAGATATTCGGCACCAAAAGAGAAACATCAACAACAGCCGTATTTCTTTGAAGATACACTTTTCTTGCTCCTATTGTAAGAACAGAACGTCGATTTAACAGAAGCACATGGTTTCAACAGGATGGGGCCGCTGTCCATACTACCACAGAACAATTATGGACACGGTGAATGCACTTTGTCCTCAAATAGCTATATCGAAGTTTGGAGACATTCACTGGCCTCCTACGTCACCCGACCTCACGCTATGCGATAATTTTTTAAGGGTTCTCTAAAGTCAAAAATGTATTCCAATAATCCACGAACACTGGAAGAGCTTAAAGACAACATTCGACGAGAAATAAACAACATCACTCCGGTACTCTGCAAGGGAGTGTTTCAGAATTTACGCGCACGATTAGAGGAGTGTAATAATAAATATTTTCTTTTCATTAAGTCTGTTTTTTTTTTCTTAAATCAAAAAGTGAGCTTTCCCACTGGACACCCTACATATACTTCAAAATGTATAGTAATCATTCACAGTTCAATTCATCAATTGTGTCAACAAAAAATGACAGTGTTTTTACACATATGCATAATCTGAAATCTGACGAATGGAATAATTTCAGTTCACCTTTCTATATCTTGAATTAATTATTTCAGGTAGAAATCTCAGGATGTCCCCTGTATATACGAGAATGAGAGAAGCTGGTGCAGTTTTTGGACAGGTGATGGGATATGAAAGACCAACTTGGTTTGATCCAAACATCATACACGGTATATCACTTATGAAATGTAGAATATAACGTCCATTCATTCAGTCTTTTATTAATTCTACTTTATGTAAGACTGACCTTGTTTTCAGTCTGTTTATGGAGCATAGCCTTACTAAGGTTGATGCCACACTTATGACGGGCAAAGCGGCTGAAGGCAACCCCTCTCTCGTCCATCCAAAGGTTTTGTTTGTTAATGAAAGATATACCTATTTTTTCTCTTTTTTTTTAATGAAAAACTCCCTCAAATCCAGAAAGAGCAATGGACCTTGGATACTGTTGAACCTATCATGAATTCAATTTATAGCCCGTTGGCTGAAAAATGAGATCCTAATTAGGATCTGGCAGAATATAAACGCTCCTCTTAGGTATATCCCCGAAAGCAAAGATAGTTACCTCATTTAGCACTCTGTTAATGTCGGCCTGTGGGAATCAGGCTGAGCACCTCGTCATTATTCCTGATTACATGGAGAAATGGGATCTGGATGCCCATTCACTCTCTTACGCTGAATCTGTTTTGAGCCGTTTTAATTGACCAATCAGAGTCGCGCTATCCGGTCTGGCTTTCGAATAACAAAATTCTATAGTCCAGTCCCAGTAGGAAGTTTTAACATAATATTGCCGTTGCCCACGGGAAGTGATAAGCGTAGTCGTAACAGAGATGCTATGTACTTGTAGTTATCCTAGAGAAAACATCTATAGTTTCCATAAGCAAACGTCTACTTCATGCGCTAGGTGCTTTAATTGTCACCATACCTTTAGGGCTCCATCAAAAATGTGGCCAGTCCCAAATGGAGGCTAATATTCGAGATAAAGAAGAAACAAAAACACTTGCATTAAATAATTGGAATAAATAGTTATAGGTATTCACTAAGTTTTAATTTTTACAATTGCTTCTGCAAGATAGCCAAATGACAAATATACGCTTTCTTTGCAAATTTTAAAATTCTAAATAAGTTTTTTATGTTACAATGACTGCAACTCCTAAATCCATATCACTTATTTTCGTTGGTCAGCTTTTCAGATCGTTCCCAAAGTTTGTTTTTGTATGCTTTACAATATTCTCAAGGTTTTTGAGCGCCATCAATCATTTTTTGGAGAGATCAATTTAAAAAAATAGTGTTCTGATTTTGATTCTTAAACGGCATTTTTGACTCCAGGAATTTCATTTTGTATACACGGAAAATTTGAGAATAGGCATATGTGAATTAGAGGGAAGTACTGACATTATTTTTTTTTTTTCGGAAAACTTTGTTTTCAAATCATACAAGGCTGAAGACGATTTCAGTGTTTTGACAGTTTCTGCCTTCGAAGACAATTCCAAGTCTGAGAATCATAGTTATCTCATAGAAGTCCTAGTACAATTTAATAACTTTTAATTTCAAAAAGCTTCCATCTGTAATCTGGAGGCTGAACAATAGAAAGCATGCCATGATCACCTAGCCATACGAACTAAGGAATAGTGCTCGAGAATTTATAGTTTGGCGTATGGACTGAAAACTAAGTTTGTAGATAATAATTTACGTATTTTTTCTTCCATACGTTGGGGACCCTATGAGGTGGGGGCCCCTTATCATTGATATGTCGGTAGCTAAGCCTCTTCTTATCCTGCCATTAAGTTTCCTTTATAAGTGCTACTATATAAAATTCATATTTTTGTAGATACAGAAAATCCACACGATTGGTGTACTCCATATCGGATGGCTTATACAAACACATTCGCAAAACCACCCTGGTTTGACTGCGTGGCTAAAGAGTATGAAGCTTGTAGAGAACGAGTGGGGTTGGCAGATTATTCTTCGTTTACAAAAATCGATCTATGGGTAAATATGGATATGGTTCTTAATTTGAAATAATATACTGCTTTTGTCCGCCCGTCCAACTATGCACACGCTATTTCATGCTCATCGGCAATCACCAGAATGGCCTAAATGTCGAGCGAGGACAGTGAATTAAAGCAGAGCAAAAGCATCCCTTAGCATTGGCATAAAGTCTATTAGAATACGACAACTCAAATACCATATATGTATTAGAGTTTGTTGTTTACAACAAGATTGACTCAATGCTGCAGATTTCCCAGTGTTGAAATTTGACACTCCTAAAAAATGATTCATTTCTCTTGACAATGTGACAAAGATCTTAATCACCAGTAGCCCATAGCTAGTAAGCATAAAGGTATTTCAACTCACGAACTGTCATAATTTCAGTCTGAAGGTAACGAGGTAGTTGACGCCCTCCAGTATGTCTGTTCGAACGACGTAGATGTCCCAGTTGGCAGTATCATTCATACAGGGATGCAGAATAAACATGGAGGTTACGAGAATGATTGTTCATTAGCCAGATTAGCTGAAAATCAGTGAGTATTTGAGAAAACTTATAAATTTTGTCGTGTCACCGCCAACTATATAATTAAATATAACCATACAAATCACCTGATCGGGCTAGGGACATTTGCGAACATTGTTAACTTGTAAGTTACTAAATATTCCACCAGAATTGCAGACAAATTTGCATGAAAAATTTAGCTGATTGATTTTCAGGCAAGACCCGGCACTAGCAAGAAAGTGACAGGAAGAAACATCTGTTTTGTTAGTGCGCGTGTGTCTGATCAATATGTCTGTTGCATCTTGCTGACTGCAAAACGGATATTACTGCCTGAAGAATAACATATGGCTTATTGACAAAGCTGAATTAAAACTAAATTATAACAAAATAACATAAAATTTCATATCTGCATAAATTTTCACACCATTAGAAATTATTGAATCAACAAGTGTCGATTTAGGTAACGTTAATTTAAAATGCTCTTTTTGTCTAATATCGTAACTTAGATTCAGTTTTTCAAGCTTATATTTCCAGTAATAAGTGTTGCTGTTCCTAAAATGAAATGTGATACGACAGTAATTATTTTAAGGTTTAGAAATAAACGCCTGCTAAAAGATTGCTGGTAGTTATATATCAAATTATTCGTTTGGTAGACAACAATTCTGAGAACAGATACATCTAAAGGGAATGTTATTAGTCTATGTTCAAATAAGGCAAAGTAACTGTTTAATACTATGCGTTTCCCTACCTACTAATTTATAGTAATAATAGTCTAACCATAGATGCGAAAAAATTGTAAAGTCTGGTTTTATTGGTGCAAGTTGTTTAAGGGGGTATTTAAAACATGGACGCATAAAATGGGTACACCAATTTTTGTAGGAAAACTTTTTATTCAACAACAAAGAATGACAACACGTGTTTTTTGAGATTCAATCCAAAGTGTTGTCAGGAACGAAAAAACTCTCCATATATGATTTTTAGATATTAATGAGACCTACAAAATGAGACCACACGTAAAAAGATCCGACTTATACCAAAAAAGTTATGACCGAAAACCGAGGCAAACTGCAGGCTTTGAGACTGGTTGGTATGCTACGACGCTACATTGGTCAAGTAGTTTTTGAGAAATTCTAAGTGTTTATCGCCAAACACCTGTTTGCCGGCCATCACTACTAGTTTATTGAGCAATGTACAGGGTTAGTACAAAGGGCATTTTATAGTATAATACACTAATTTGCCTTGCCAATATGAATCGCAATGCATTCCGGAAATTCCGGAAGATAAATATTATTTTTGTGCAAAAAAGAATGGGTTACGTGTTTTTTTTCTAGACAAACTCGGACATATCGTATCTGCGTGTTATTCGCAACAAAAGATCATAGACACATCCTCTTTATTTTGAAATGTGTATAGTAACGTATGTTTTTCGAATATCGTAGCGCATTTGCTCAATTACTCACAAATAATACATGTTTGAATTTGCTTGCTGTTTAACGGTAGTGTTTGAGCAAAAAGTATTAAAATAAAATTTTATACTGTAACTTTTAAAATGCCGCGAGTTGAAATTTCTGGTTTTGATAGAACATGAATAGTAGCCCTCTTCCAAGCTGGATTTTCAAATCGCCGAATAGCACTGGATTTGGGTATCCCAAGAAGTTCGGTTATTCGAACAATTCAAGGATTCCAAGAAACTGGCTCAGTTGAAAATCGGCCACGCAGTGGGCGTCCTCGAGTAACAGATGATAGGGAGAATCGTTACATTGCTCTATTTGCCCGAAGGAATAGATTTTCAACAAGTACAGCTATCAGATCGCATATTCAACATACCTTTCGAAGAGTTGTTTCCACTTCTACCATCAGAAAAAGATTGCGAATGGCAAATTTGCGCCCTAGAAGACCTTTAAGGGTTCCACGTCTTACTCGTAGACAAATTGCTGCTAGAGAACATCAGGAGTGGCTTTTACCACAGTGGCGAAATGTGGTATTTTCAGATGAGGTTAGGTTTGGACTGGTGAGTGATGACCGTAGATTAAGGGTTTGGAGAGTATCAGGACATCAACACCGACTAAATTTGGCCCGAGAACTTGTCCCATATCAGGGCGGATCAATAATGTTTTGGGGAGGCATAATGTTTAACCACAGGAGTCCTTTAATTCAGATCCAGGGGACAATAACTGCAGAAATTTATGAAGAAAATGTCATACAACCCATTATTCAACCTTTGCGAAATGAATTCGGTAACAACTTCATTTTTATGGATGATAATGCAAGGCCACATGGAGCGAGAAGGGTCCAGCGGGCTCTAGAAAGGGGCCAAATAGTGAGATTGCCGTGGCCTGCGAACTGCCCAGATGAACCCCACTGAAAACATTTGGGACACTAGCTCGAGCCGTACGGAACAGAATAGATCCACCTACAATCCTAAATGAGCTGGCTGCAACAGTAAATAAAGAGTGGAATAATTTACCCCAAGAAAACATTAACCACCGAATAATAGGAATGCCAAGGCGTGTTAACGCACTGCTAAGATCTAATTTTTGCTACCTTACTTTTAGGTGATTTTAATTTAAATTATTATGGTAAAAGCATGAAAACAAGAAAATTGAAAGAAACCATAAACAACTATGGGTTCAAGCAAAAAATTGAAGAGAGTACCAGAATAACATCATTATCAGAGACTTTGTTAGATCTTGTTATTGTAAATTTCGAATGTCCAGGGATTAAAGCTGTACATACACCTAAAGTTAGCGATCACAGTTGGACAATGCTGCCCTTGGTAGGGCATTTTTCTGATACAAAAATTAAGAAAATCGTAAATACTATTAATTACGAAAAACTTGAACGAGAACTTGCTGGCTGCTATTGGAATTTTGGTGAGAATATGGAAAAAATATATGACAACATAATAGGAAATATAAAAACTTGTTTAGATCTTGCAACTGATAACAAAATGAGAGCCTCGACAAATAATACTCCCTGGTATAACAAGAATATTAAGGCAGCTCAAAATTCGAGAGACAAACAATACAATAAATGTATATTCACAAAATCAAATGATGATTGGGAGGTATATAAAACTACGATAAACAAATCGATAATAACAAGTGCGACAGTGCAAAGATGTGGAAGACTTTAAAATGACTGATCAATTCGAAGCCGCATGATTGTGTAAATCAAGTTCAATTCGAAAACGGTACCGAAACAAATTCTTTGGTGATTGCAAACAAACTAAATGAATATTTTGTGGAAAGTATTGTTGATATTGTAGGTACTGCCAATGCTGCACCTGTCTATATGAAAATCAGTTTCCAAGGGAAATGTTGCATACACTTTCAAAATTTCACAGCGTATCATTGAATTATCTAAGAAAAAAAGTAAACAGTTTAAAATCAAATAACAACTGTGCCGAAATGACTACTAAAAACGTGCTGAAAAACTGTTTCGATATTTTGGGATATCCTGTATTAAATTGGATCAATTGTTCACTGAGAAGCAGTTCTTTCCCTGAAAATTTGAAATGCTCTACAATAACACCAGTTCCCAAAATAAAAAATTCTAAAAGATGCAGCGATATGAGACCAGTAAATGTGTTACCAGACATTGAAAAATTATTAGAGTCCATAGTGCATGACCAATTAATGCAGTTTATAGAAGAAAACAAAATTTTAGTGGAGGCGCAAGCAGGCTTTCGAAAAAAATATTCCACAGAAACAGCTTTCCAGTTGGTAACTGAGAATTGGAGAAGAGCCATAGACTCAGAAGAAGTTGTCATAGCAGTATTTTTGGATTTTTTTTTTTTTTTTTTTTTTTTTTTTATTTACATAAGCTGCATCAGCTAATTAGCTATTAGCAGCGGATTTAATGTGTACATGAATCAAATTTTATGTATTAAATTACAATGGCTCAAGAACAACATTAGATTTCGGACATTGCAGGTGGCTCCAATTATGTCTTTTAGAGTTTTACCACAGAGATTAAACTGATGTCTTTGTTGTTCGAACATTGGACACTCCACTAGAATGTGTTTTACCGATAAAACGCTTTCACACATAAAACACATTGGTTCAGGGTCACGGGTGATGAGGTAGCTGTGGGTGATTCTTGTGTGGCCCAGTCGGAGGCGGGTTATTATCACTTGCAGTCTCCTTTTTTCTGTTACTGTTTGCAATTCGTTGAGCTTGGGTTTCACTTCTTGTAGCTTGGAAGGCTTGTTCCTCCACACACTATTCCACTGGTCTATTGTTTTGCCTTTTACATATACCTTCATATCTGATGCTGGAACTGGGAGGTTGCAGATGCTGTTGTTCGTTGCCGCTCTTTTAGCGTTTGTATCCGCTGTTTCATTCCCTGCTATTCCTTTGTGAGATGGAGCCCACATAAGTACTATAATCTGGTTATTGTTGGTGAGTTGAGTAATTGTTTCTTGTATTATCTTGGCTATCGGGTTTTTTGTATATAACTTATTGATGGAGTATATTGAGCTAAGTGAGTCTGTAATGATTATCCATTTTTGGTCAACGGAGCTTTCTATATATTTTAATGCTTCCAGAATCGCGTAAAGCTCTCCTGTCAGAGTAGTGGCTGAGTCCGGAATCTTCAAGGTCTTGATGGTTGTTGGTGTAACTATTGCTGCTCCGCAGTTTGATCCTTGTTTCGATGCGTCGGTAAATATTAGCTTGTGGTCAAGATATTTACCAACGATTTCGTAGAAATTCCTCTGTATTATTTCGTTAGGGGTGCTATGCTTGTCTAGTTCTGTTAGCTGGGTATTTACACGAGGAAGCTGAACAGCCCAAGGTGGTGCGTTTGAGACTTTGACTGGATATAATTGAGGCATTTGGCTTATATTCAACTGTATTAGGTGAGATCTAACTCTTCTGTGTAGTGGTGGAATGTGCAATGGATTTCTGTCGTATTCTATGAGGGTGCGTAGGTTTTTAGAAGTGGGAGCATCTGGGTTTGATGCTGTGTTAATGATATATGATGAACTGAGAATGTCTCGTCGCAGTTGCAGTGGGGGTTCTCCTGCTTCGCAGTATAAGCTTTCCAGCGGTGTTGTTCGATAGGCTCCTAGTATGATACGTAAAGCTGTATTATGTACCACATCTAGATGCTTTAATATGGTTTTTTTGGCAGATGCATACACGATACACCCGTAGTCTATTTTTGATCGTATTAGCAGTCTGTAAATGGTTAAAAGTGTTTTGCTTTCTGCTCCCCAGTGCTTATGTGCTAGACATTTTAACACATTAATTCTCCTTTGGCAAGACTGAATAAGCTGAGTGATATGTTTTCTCCATGTTAGACGTCTGTCAAATGTTATTCCTAGAAACCTG